GGGGGAAGAAAACAGATAGACACAGGGGAGACTAAGGGGTTTGTATAGATGCCACAGCACGGATGTACAAATAGAGTTATTCACTAAATCCAAAACAAATGAAGGCATCCATCCATCGTCCCGTCCAAATTATACATAAATATTCATGATCAAGGTATACTTCCGCCACCTATGAACTTAAAGTTTCTCTTGGAAAACAGTGGACACTAAAGAAAATCCATAGAAGTGCAACTCTGAAGCCTTTCAAGGCCTCTTTCCACAAATCTATGATCAGTCCTATCACATTTATACGTGCCTTTTCCTACATACATAATTGCACATAAAGTACTTAATATTGTCGTCTACAGACTCCAAGAAATTGGAGAAAAGTCAAATACAACTATATCCCACAATTTGTGTCATGGAGATCAAAGTTAACCTTTCTGGCAACTTTATTTTAACATGCACGTGAGTATCCACCAAGTAACATAAATAAAGAATAGTATAGATGGCGTTCCCAATTATTGAAAGTAGATCAAATGAGAACCAAGTCTTGGCATCAGACCTACTCACAATGCTACATAAGTTATATGTGATGCTACTAGTGTCAATTACATGCGAACCTATTTTTGCATGATGATAATAAAATAAAAACTCCAACAATGTGATGCCATTATTATGAAACCATTGATTAGAAATTTAGAATTTATAAAGCATTAAATACAAATAAATATAGCATGACACATAACATAATTCAGCAGGGTGCTTAGTTCCTACAAAAGGATTGGTTCTCACTAGAACTATTACACCAGATATTGAATTAAAAATGCCCATAGTCCCAGTGAGAAACTTCTGTAGGTGAAATTGTAATATAAAATAACCATCTTTTATCTAAACAACAAAAAGTCCTAAAACTTATGTAAATGTAGTTGCCCACAAATTATTTTCTCAATTACTAAACATATTAAAATGATCTTCAGCGTCTTAAGTCTTAACAATGATTCAACGCGGGCACACCCCTGGACTGCTAACTGTTGCCACAGAAGATAACTGGTGATGCTTGGAAACCAAATCTTCACTTACTAAGCATTTCATTCCTATGGTATTTGCATGGACATGTGTCTATATTTGAACACGGACCAATATGAACAAATATAATCTAAGTTGTGCACCAAAAAGTAACCAAAATAAAAGTAGCGCCTCTCGAAATAAATTCAGAAACTTCATAAAGGACTCCTTTTAACAATTGAATATGGAGTCAAACAGATTTAGCCAAGTATAATAACTTTCAAAAAAATGTAACCATAAATGCCACAGACAATGAACATAAGCGCTGGAGTCAAAGAATGACAATACTTAAGCTCATAAATTAACCAAAAAAGACTAAAGTGTAGTCTAATAATTGCATTCTATCAGAAACCCTCGAGTGACCAATACCAGACAAATAAATTGTCACCATTCTAACAAAGTTCACATCTCTAAATACTCTGGACAAAAACAGCAAATTACTAGGACTTTTTTATAGGAAAATATAGACGAAATACATTAAAAAAATAAAAACATAGCCAGTTGACAAAAGGAAAATCTGAAAAACAAAACTAGACTCACAGATTTATCTCGCGAAATGGGTAGTCCATCGAATATCGACATTCCAACCTGATAAGCTCAACCCAGAATCCTATACAAGCAGAACTACAAACACATTAGGAAAGGCAAAACCCAAGCTTGAAATAAAAACAAAATATTAGAATAGTCTCTAGCTACACATGCTTATCTTGCACCTAGAGCTGTCAAAACGGACCAGCGGGTCGGGCCTAAGGAATGCAAGCCCAACCCGCCCCCGCCTAGGGCCGCTGGTTTGGCCAGCCATTAAATAAAATTTTAGTTATAAATAATTTGCTTAATGAATTCACAAATTTCAGAACCCACGGGCCACACCAGTTGAATTTTTTGATTCATCGAATTCAAACCTCACATACTCAATTCACATCACTCACCGGGCTGGAAAAAAAAAAAAAAAAAAAAAAAAAAAAAAAAAGGTATACTATACTCATCAATAGGTATTCATCACGCAGAATTTTGTAACTGGACCAAGACTTCCAATTGATCAAGTATAAGTAAAGGATTAAGGATCCATGGCAACAGATACAAAGGAAATTACAGAGTACCTTACAAGCTACCGCCGGAGAGCCGAGATACGAGAGGAATTAGGCCCGTCGTCAGAAAGGGCGAAGGTTTGGACCTTTTGGTGGGAGTCTGCCAGTAGGTCCGCAGGCGGCTGAGAGTTGCGCGGGCCGACGGCGGCGCACGGCGAGGGCGGAGGGAGGAGAACGGGCGGAGGGCGGCGAACGGGCGGATCGATTTAGGATTTGGTCGTTGGTGGAGTTGGGGCCGAGGCACGGACACGATCTGGAGAGAAAATGGGAAAGCCAAGGCAAGTCATCATATCATTTATATTTCTCTTTTTTTTTTTGTTTTTAAATATACTTGACGGGTCACGCCCGTCCTGCCCGTTCCTATGCTACCTTAACCTGCCCATTTCTATACTTTCGGTTCTTTTTTCTCGCTTCTTGTTGTTTTGTTTTCTTAATTATTGGTATTCTAAGTTTGTTATTGCAGTATTAGAGGTGTTAGTTTCCCGCTGGCGTTTCTAGTTGTTAGCTTGTTGTTTTTTGTGTCGGTTAATTAGTCGTTTAGAGTACTTCGGTTGTGACTGACTCTCCAGAATTAGGGTCAATTGACTCTCAGTTTGTATATTTGTATATTTGCATGCTATAATATTATCTGTCGTTTCGAAAAAAAAAAAAACCCTTTTTGAGGTCAGTTGACTCTCGGTTTGTATATTTGTACATTTGTGTGCTATTATAATATCATCTGTCGTTTCGGAAAAATAAATAAATAAATAAATAAAGTACCTTAACCAGCGTTGAACCGTTTAGGCCCACTAATAGTCTAAGAAATCTCGACCCAATCTACCCCTTTGGCAGTGCAGGGCGAAAAACAACCCGCGAGCTTAAACCCATTTTGATGGCTCTACCTGTTGCGACCTACATGCTTCCCAAAATTAGGTGAAGTGGCCTAGGCTCGTTTATTGATAGGCAGGAAATCCCCTGGTAAGGCTAGTAGCAGCAGGCTCGCAGGCTAAACAAGCTAAGCTGACATTTGAAATCTTTTATCGCGCCAGGAGATAATGATCGGATAAAGTCCCAAACAAAAAAGAAAAAATTAAAAGATAAGGATTAGCAAAACGCATGAAATCTAAAATATCAAATCAAGATTATGTCTAATTTTGATCCCGCTTTAGCACCATTTTTCACTAATTGTTTCAAACATGGCAATTTCCAATGGATTCGGAAAATCAAGCTAGATGGTGAGACATTGACTCTTCTACGCATTTCTAGCTCAAAATCAAAACTTCAATCTCATAACAATAAACTGCCAAAGCAAGGACAACGCACTTGTAAGATGTAAAACTTCAAGGGGTTTTCTGACGGAGAAAGAGGAGCGGGTGATGATCGAACCTGCAGAGGAACAAAACTGCAGTGGTGAATAGGACGAATGTTAGAGGAGACTAAGAGAGCGTTGATGTGGACCATGGTAAACTGATAAAGATCGACTCATGATTATGATTGACGGAGGTAATTCAGAGTGAGATTTATGTTTTTTCCTTTTTTTCTGAGGAAGACACAGAGTGGCCTCATTTGTCTATGACTGAAAAAAGCTTCTAAATTACATCGAGAAATATCCTTTATCTTGTTCTTTTCTTAGGGTCACTATTGACATGATATATAAGGCTTAAGCTGAAGAGAAAGGGAGCACTGCTTAGGTAGTAGACCAAAGGGAAAGAGAAAGAAAGGGTTCTATGCTATCCCATCCTCTTTCTCACAAACCCGCCTCTCCCCTTTGATGGATCTTCACGTCAACAAGTTCGAAATCTCACTCAAGGATCATCTAGCTAGTCTTTTTCCCTAGAGAGTTGGTTAGATACTCCGGCTCAATTACATCGACCCTCGTTCTCACAAGAATGGTCTGCCCCCAGTGGAATGCAACTTGCTCGCCCCAAATTCTATTCCACTCAAACAAATATAATCACACAAATTCTTCAAAATGTGAATAAAATTCATGTCCTACGGTGTCCACATATTTAGTCAAGTAAACTAGGGAAGTTATCATTTTTTCAGAAAAAATAAAAAATAAAAATAAAAATCAGCAGAACTGAATCAAACTGAATTGGATCATTTTTTATCATCGGCCACATTTTGGTTCGTTTCCTTATTGAATGATTTCGGTAATTACCAAACAGAGCCGAAGTTTTTGGGTTGGTGATTTTTATATATCCGGCCTATAGGTCCAGTCCAATATCTGAAGACCCTACATCTACTCTAACAACCCGTACAATAGAATGATTTTCTTTATCCCCTCTCCTCCTCTTTTTCACTTTCTATCTGATCGATCTTCGAGCCATCTTATTTATCGAGTTTGTGAGTAATGGACGATCTCTAAAAACCCACCATGCGAACAACTCTGAAATTGCAATTCTTTAATCTATGTTTATATGTTTTGATGTGAATGGAATATCAGACAATCAAGATTTCTGCTTGAACCATCTCACCTAAAACGTCATGAAAATCCCGAATTGGATCAATCTGCAAGGGTCTGGAAAGGCTACCGATATAGGCACTCCAACGCTTAAAACAGACACCAAATCACAAGAAAATTATATAACTCATAGAGATTAATGTATCCCTTTCTATAAAATATATTCCTCAAGAATATAGGTATAGACATGTTAAGATAAAATCACACACTATCCATACACTTCAGAATATTTTAAAAATTGTAACCAAAATCCTCAAGATAGTTCAATTATTTAATATCTTTGAATCGAGACCAGGCATGGACGAACTAGTCTATCTTAAATGTCATATCATCTAATCTCCCTACTCTGATGTTCAAGGCGAGCTAGAGTGAGAAAAGTTATGTGATCCATCACAACAAAATTAAATCGACGTAGGGTACCGTCACACCTCGGATCATAATTAAATCGACGATTTCACCAAATTCACACCCCACGTATCCCAAATCCACATCGAGTCTATGCGCATCCCAGAGCCACATCGACACTCCACGTCCGTGAACGAAATCCTGATATCGACACCGACCACAAGACAAAGCTTCCCTTACGCCGATCTCATCTTAGGCCAAGCTTACTCCGCATCGATCTCGTCATTGAACGTGAAACGAGTTGCCGCACAGAACCGGCTCACGCCGTCTAGTATAAATAGGATTACCACCCACGAATCTGATACTTATCTCAACCTCAAGAAGATAGGGTGCTAGTAGTCATCTTGCATGCACTAGACCCAGATAATTTTTCACTTTTTACCTATTTTAAAATGTAATAACTTTCAAAAGGTTAAAGGACACGAAAAAATACAACAAATAAAAGGAAAAAAATAAATAAAACACTATATACAAATAAACGTGCAAGCGCATTAGACGCAAGCATTGAATTCTTATTTTTGCCGCATCGTTCTTAAATTGTAATTACCACTTGACGTAAACGTGTTGGTGAATCCGAACATCAACATATCAAAATTCAAAAAACAGACTTTGGTTTCTTAACGACGTACGTTGTTACATAAACTAAATGTCATGAATCCCAATTAACTGATTCCCAAAATACAACAAAACGCTTCTCACATAACACCTTAATCAACTCACCTAGAAGAAGTAGTAGAAACGAGAAAGGGAAGTTAAAAAACGAAAAAGTAAAAGAAAGAAAATGCATGCTAATTAACAATCTCAAATTTCTCTTAATATTAATGCTGTAACTACGAGTCCCCATACTCTTGGTCGCCATGAGAAGCAGCAGAGTGCTTCTTCTTCCCCGTATCATTATGATTATGCTTATTGTTGTGCATCCAAACCTTGAACACCCTTCTCTTCACCCCGATTTCCTCGCAAAACCTGCGCACCTCCGATTCCTCCGATTTTTGCATTTTCCACCCCAATCTCTCTGCAAATTCCAGCATCCTCCCCTTCTGCTCCACGCTGAACTTGGTCCGGAACCGCTTCTTGGCCGCCCCAACCCCGCCGTGCTCCTCCCCCTGATCGTCCGGCTCGGATATCACCACATTGCCTCCCATGTACTCGTAATAACAGCGGCCGCCGGGTTCGAATTCCACTTTCCGGTGGAAGTTCCTGTGGCAGCCGCAGGCGGAGCAGATCAGGGACTCCGAGTCGGCGGCGGGGGCGGGGGGCATGAATTCGCCGCAGCCGTCGGTGGCGGTGACTCCCATGGCGGCTGCATGGTTTTTCAGGCACTCCTTGTATTTCACGATTTTGGTCGGGGGTAAATTGGGGATATGGTGAGGGACACAACTGCTGTTTACTGGATTTGGCACTTCTTCTACTTCTTCTTCTTCACTAATTAAGGGCATTTTTTCCATTTTTTCTTTTTCTTATAATTGTGTGTGTGTGTGTTTGGGTACTAATTTGTTGCTTGTTTGGAGACCAAAAAACACAGTGACAAAGGATTACAGGACCTAGCTAGCAAGCTAGTTTTTTTTTTTTTTTTTTTTTT